GGTAATTCAACTCCTTTTGCAAGACACAATGTTGGATGATGTCCAGGTCCTGGATGAGCTTGATCTGGTCCCTGAAGTACCTCAGCTGTGAACTTCTTTGACCGGTGAGATTGTCTTTAGCTTCAGTCAGTGGTTTCAGACCCCAACAAAATGACGAGTGTGTATACAGCTTGCGTCTTCTTGGCAGCCGCATTTCTTACAAGCAGTGCAAAGGCAAGATTTGCCAAGTCACTTCTGCTCGTGCTCGTAGAGCTTCTTGTAATCCTCACCGGATCTGATGTCCAGCTTGTGCTTCGTTTTCGGCCTCGGCACATACTCCCAAAGTCTTCCAAGAATCATCCAACACCTTTTCATGGAGATTGCAATTCCCAGCAGGGGATCTAGTTCCCAGCGCTGACCGTTTGGAGCTTTAGAACTGCTGATACTCCCAAGCAACACACCTGGGGATCTGACTTTGGTGGCTCGAAAGGGCAAGTCAAAATTGCCATTTTGGCGTCCTCAACGATCGATTCTCAAGGAACATCACCAGACTCCCTCGACATGCACTCTATAAAACACAATGCAATTGGCTTCTTCATCCTTGTGTTCTCCAGCTTTCGGTCTTAGACATCAATATTGGGCTAGAGGCCATCGCTACTAGATTGGAACGCTAGTAGGTTGGAGGCCATCACTGTTATAGGTTCCTTACATTAAAAAAATACCTTTTTCGAAGTCTTTTTGCATTTTTGCTTCTCCCACACGCTTTGATTTCACGTCACCGGCTCACTCTGGTTATATAATCAGGCCACACGATTCCCTCGGGCATCGATCGCACTTGACTCCTTGACTACCTTGGGCATCTGTGGATGGCTGAAGTCCTTATCCACCACAATGCCCTGGATTAGGCAAGTGTCCTGATGCCATCCATTCGCTGCTTTGTTCACATAATCTTGTCTGTGCTCTCAAGAGTACAAAGAAACTAAGAAACGTCATGGATAAAGACCATGGAACGTTCCTGCCAGCAATGAAATGGACGAAGAATCTCCGTGAAAGGCCCTCGCTGTAAACTTCACCATCTTTTAGTCTCGGAGGAGATGGCTGCAGTCCTCCAATTTGCCACCCACTTTCCCCTCAACCTGCCAACAGAGTTGCAGACGATTCAGATCGAGGCGATAGTGAGAACCCCCTTTAACATAATTCAACTGCTCTTGAGTGCACCTCTGTCATCGGTAAACACTTCACATGGTGCGCACGATAATGTTGCTTTGAGTAGAATCTTATCAGGCTCCACTCAAAAAAGGGTCATTTGTGTTGGCACACGTGTCAACTGCCTTGGTCTTGTTGATCTTTCTGCGAATCTGTCGGCATCAATCATGACTGTGAGATGACCCGTCATGGGCCTTGATGAGATCAAAGTTGACATCTTTTCGCTGAAGATCGCATACCTCTGCTGTGGATTGATGGAGCAAAACTAGACTGAGATCAAAGGGCGTAACATGGCAGGATTGGCTAGATCAGCAATTCATCGCTCATTTTGGACAGCATGCTTAGGCCGGCCTAGACGCTTGGAAAGGCGGAACTGATTCCAAAGAACCAATGCCTGGGTCGCTTCAAGTTTTAACTTGAGCACAGCCCGGTCACTGGACTTCTAATTCGAAGTAGCCCTTGTGGGCACACCTCAGATGCCACACCTTTTCAGCTAGCAGAGCTTTCCATGTGAGCCGAGTTGACAATTTGGTGCCTTCCACACAAATGCCAAAGCCTGAAGCTCTCGATTAGGTTCCACGTGCTTCAGAGTCGATGCCAAAGGTAGCAAAAGTTGCATTCAGCTTTACAGTGCTATTCAGGGATAAGGGCTCCCTTTCCCGAAGCATTGCCAGAGTCGTTGCCTGCTATGTCGTGTTCTGTAGTGCTGTTGTGTGAACTGCTGTTGCCTTGGCTTGCATTGGCTTCAGAAGCATTGCTGGAATTGGCGCCAGTTGCATTCAGCTCACTGGTACTGTTGTGGGAACTGCGGTTGCTTGCTTCAGAACTACTGCTGGAGTTTGTGTGACTTGCGTTGTGCTCTGTTGTGGTGTTGCTTGAACTGTCATTGCCGTGGCTTGCATTGGCTTCAGAAGCATTGCCTGACTCGGAACCAGTTGCATTCAGCGCGCTGGTACTGTTGTGAGTGCTGCTGCTGTTTGCTTGAGAACTATTGCTGGAGTTTGTTTGACTTGCATTGTGCTCCGTGGTTCTGTTGCTTGAACTTGAACTGCTGTTGTTGCTTCCATTAGCCTTGGATGCATTGCTAGAATTTGCATCAGTTGCATTCTGCTCTGTACTGTGTTTTGCTTCCGACAAATTGCCTGTTGCTGAGGCCTTGCTGCTGTTGTTCTGCTCTGTGCTGTTGTTGGACGAATGGGTGTCGTCTTCCGCTCTCTTTTCCGGCGGATCGCTGGCAGAGCTATTGCTGCTGTTATCACCGGAGCAATTCTCGAGGCATCTGTTTCCTGGGTGAAACCAAAGAATCAATGAACAACAAGCATCCAAGTCATGAATATGTTCTAAGCTTCTTGAATCAAAGAAAGTAAATCCCAGCATGTCAAAAGGATATGTTGCATACTAAATTGCAATAGCCACCCTGCAAGCCCGATCATATGCACTACCTGAATAAGCAACATGCCACCGCCTGCATAATCCCTCCGCTGCAAGCATCTGTCAACTGAGAAATTTCTTTTAGGAACCTAATAGCGATGGCCTGCAACCTAGTAGCGATGGCCTCTAACCTACTAGCGGGAATTGAAGAAATCTCAACATGTTTGGTTTGCCAAGTCTCCACTTGAGGCTTCATCTTCACCAGCCTGGCAATCTCCCAACAACACACTGTTTGTCCTGGTTTGGACCAGATTCAAAATCTTGACTAAGCCTAAACGTTGAGGGTCTCCACGTCACAAAACAAGTCTTAGATCGTCTTAGTAAGTTGGGTAGCTACCGCGGCTATCACAACATTTAACACCTGCACTTTCAGCATTTCCAGCCTCTGAGGCGCTTGTGGCCTGAGAGATTCACCGTTTGCAGTCCCTTCAAGTTGACTATGCGTACTAGTTACGTACTAGAAAGCTTTCTTGTTACTAAGAAGCTTCAAAGACATACCAAAAAGCTTCTTCATTGTTGCTACAGGTGAAACGATGTCCATCAAACAATTCCCAATGAAACGATTCGTACTAAACCCCCATCCAGGTCCAACCCACCCAAAGTGTATTATTTGCCCTTTTTTGTGAACAGTCTTGCAAAATATCTGGTAGAGGTAGTTTTCGCGCAAGAAGGAAATTGATTTTCTGCACAATTGGGATGCGTTGTCTCTCTTCGCCTCTGCCATGGAGTCATTCATGAACTGATTGTAGACCTGACACACTCAAGCTCTCCATGTTGGTCATCATATGATGTGAACCCAGCACCAATCTTTCGAAGCATCTGTTTGGCACTGCTGGAAAGGTCTTCAAACGGCCCCAGCATAGCTCCGTAATCTCGAGTTCGGTCCCTTGAATCAACCGATCCTTCAAGGTCAGCATCGAACCGCACGCGTGGGCCTTGCCATGCTCCCGTAGCAGCTCGCCCAGCATCCCCTGTCAGGGATCTTGTATGTTACGTTCGTAGCTTCTTGCTCCTAGTACGGCCAGGAGCCCCTAGTAGCGTCCTTGCTCCTAGTAGCGATGCCAGGAGCCCCTAGTTAGTCTCTTGTGGATGTCCATATCTTTCCTTCCCCTGAAGGGATTCGTGACGATCATGAAAGCCTCAGGGCTGCTTCGAGTTTGAATGAACTTATAAGCAAGCTGGCTTTTCAACGCCGCTGATGATCATATATCATTTGAATATACCAACTGCTCACTTTCTACCTGGGCTGGTGACTGGCTGGGGTTCTTGATCGCTGCAGTACCCCTTCCATCTTATCTTTCAGCATCCCCCTTGTGCCTCGGAGGTCTCGTTATCCTGGATCAAGGTTGGCAGTGGAAGGGCTCTCATGGAAGTCTACAGATGGCAGAATCAACTGGGAACCCAGATGTCCTCCCAGTGGGCGCTGCTCTGTAGTGCCTGGAAAGTGCTCTTGCAAGTAGAAACAAAGGGCAACTGGCCCTCACTCTCAATACACTACACCATTTTGAGGCTCATGCAGAAGCCTCTTCTGCCGGTCCGAACAAAGCGAATCCAATCTAATCAAACCTGTTCCTTTCAGATTTCTCTCCGGGTCCAGTCTCTTGACTTCCACTTCCCTCACGAGCGAGACAAAAGGGAAAGGGATTTGTGGTCACGGTCATTCTTCGACTTCCCCAGTTGCCTTTCGCTGCTGCAGGAGCATCAAGCGGCAGCTCTGGGAGCGGCACTCATGAGCTGCTTGGCCTCTGAGCTGATGACTTCAAGCAGTTTCTGTGCTTCTCTGACAGGTTTGGTTCGATGATCCAAGAAAATGCATTTTCGCTCTCAACTGCCGACAACGGACCTTAGTTTTCAGACACACACAGGTGAAAAGGATGGGCAATAGCCTACCGAGTGTGGAAACAAGGGGCCGCCCGGTCAGGTGAAGTCATTCCACTCCCCTGTTTCACCTGCCTTGGTAGCAAAGCAGCAGAATTGGCCACAAAGACAGCCAGTTGTGGCTGTAGAACATTGCGGCAATTATGACACAAGCCGTGTAGCTACTATGATATGGTTCCAGCCTATCTGGCAGCTCGATCATGGGAGTACATCGGGGCAAAGCAACATTATGCAAAATTAAGTATGAATGCTCCGGTCATCCCTTACTTCTCTTCCTTCAAGCTGATTATGCCAGAGTTTCACATCCATGTCTGGCGCATTGCAGTCTACGTTATGCGGACATCTTTGGGCCAAATCCGCACATGTTCACAACGTCCTTGCCAGGGGTGAGGCAAACAGGCTCTACCTACGGATCCTTGCAAACTCAAAAGGTATCACGCAAGGGAAAAAACAAAAACCTTACCATTCAATTCTCGCCGCCCTGTAAATCCAATCTCCACTTTTTTCTTCGCTTCACAACTCATCCAAGTCGATCTCTTCGGACTTGGACTCTGCGTTTGGGCTATTCGTTAGTTGTGGCGCTGACCGCCAACCTGCCAAAGAATCGGGCTTCTCTGCGACCACGGAATCGAGCGAAGCATAACTTAAGACCACAATACACGATACTGGCTTTAATGGGAGGTGATAGCGTATGTTGTGGCTGTCGCTTGTTTTCGTTCCTTGTCTCGATACGTGAGTGCCTTCCTGCCTTAGCTTCTGTTGGTTGAGGTAATGATGCCAGCAAAATGTTCGGCAACTTTGCTGACTTTCTATATACGGTACTGCTAGATCTGTAAGTAATAAAGCTCAAACAATATCAAAATCTGTAGAGTGTTAGCTCAAAAAACAAAACTGCATCCTGTACATGAAATTCCTTTCCAAAAAAGCTTGCTTCTGCTGTTGCCTGATCAACCATTGCTCACCCTTGCAGTCTGCCGGCAAGAATAACTACAGGCCAAAGCCACCTCCACCCCCGCCGCCATCACCGGCAGGCAGGTCCCAGGTTGGCATACTTCGCGGCATGTTTTGCGCCATGCTTTGTGGCATCCCTTGTGGCACGTATCCTGGCTTCGACCCGCACAAGCCTTCAATGTTGGAATTAAAAGCAACTGTCACAGCTCTCAGCTTTCAAGAATGTCTGCAAAACCCTTCCCCTCAAGTCCTGCGCCCGACCACCTCAGGGCTCATCCAAAGCAGAGTTTGATTGGACAATTCGCTCTTGGTCGTACTGTAGCCCTTGTGATTTATCCGAGACATGCACACTGTATACAGTAAGTTTCTCGACATACTGCCCTGCAATGGAAGTCATCTTATCCACCAAGGAGGAGGGTCTAGGAAAGCAAGCCGAAGACATGATATTTTATTAAATACTATACAGCCGTGAAACCAAACAGCTGAGCTCACAGCATGGCCCAGGCATCATATCCTGGATAGGCTTGCGGCACCTTGGGAGCAGCCAAAAAAATCCGGCTTCCGGTGAGAACTTGACACCCAAACAAAAACACAAAAAAAAAAGAATAACAATAAAGTTTGCTTGCCACGCTTGTTCAGGAACTACCTCATATGCCGACCCTCAAAAAGGCTATCCGTAGCTCTTCGCCGCCCCATGCCTTGAGGGTGTTTCATGAAGATATATAAACAACATCCCTGCAATGGCCGATCAAATGATAACACCCTACCTATACCAGTAAATTTCATCGATTTCTGATGGGGAGGGGGTTCACTGATCGTTTCTCAATGGCTTCTAGCGCAAATTCAATTCTTGCATAGTTACACGAACAATAGTTGATGAAACCAGCCCACAACACATAGTCGGATGTTCGCCCAAGTCCGCCACTCTCCATTCTGGTGGTGTATACCTCAAGGGTTCAATCAAGCTTCAGTTGGAACATCATTGAGAATCAAGTTGGCATCCAGATTCTCCAAAGCGCCAAAGACAAAAGCGCCAACAGAAGTTGCAGCATCAGGTTTAGGCCCCACACCCGGCACGATCCAGGACCTGCAAAAATCGTGTCGTCCACACTAGGATGACCCTGCTCGAGCCTGATGAGCGAAACCCCCAATTGATCAATTGCTGAGCAGCTTGGAACCTTGCCAAATCTTTGAATCTGTATGCATTCTGAATTCATGAATGGACTTTATTGGACTACTCAAGAAACTCAGCCTCAAGTCCGGCGGCTCTTGAAACCTATACAGTCTCCAAAAAGCCCGCTTCTTTCGGTGCAACCCCTTTATGTCGAATCCTTTGGATTCAGTTTTGCGTCTGCATGGATGGTTTGAAGCAAACAAGAAGTACCTGCCATGCAAAAACATGAAAGGAAACAGCACCAAATCGCCGAATCCCTTATTCGCACACCACAGGGCCGTTTCTCGACCGCTTTGGCTTCCAAGAGCCCCGAGTGGGGGCCTCGCGCAGAAGGTACTTGGCTCGCGTGATTGCATCTCGCGTGCCGCTCAAACCTGACAAAAACGATCAAACACAGATCTTGTTTTGAAAGGGGCCTGAGCTTCTCGCAGGCTACGCTTCGTTATTTTGGCGGGATAGACTCTTTTTTGGGCCGATAGGGAGGTTCCCAGCAGAGTACAGGGAACGGTGTGTTGCAAACAAGTGTGGAAGATTACCGCCATGTTTGTTTAGAGAGACAACTCGTGCCGGGGTGAGGCCCTCAAAAGTGACATAGATTTCGTGGCAGGGAGGGAATTGGAGAGGTTGCAGACTTCATTGTGCGGGAGTGGAGTTGGAGGAGCCACTGGAAGCCAGGCAACAGTAGCCAACAAAAGCTAATGCTAAGGGAACCTACCAAAACTGCCTAAGGCCACACAAGCCACCACGAGCCAAAGGCTCTAGCAAAGCCACCAAAAGTCAAAAGCCACAGAAGCCACGAAATAGCCAAAGCCAGCTAGAAGCCACAAGGCACATAAGGTAGAAACAACCCAAAGAACATATCCGCCGAAATATACCCTCCTTTTGGAAGTCTTGGAAGGTCGACTCGAAGCATCCGCTAGCGCCAAGGCCGCTGCGGACGGGTGAAGGGTCCAACTGATTGTTCACATCAATCTTGGCACCGCTCTCTCCTGAGTCACTCAGTTCTGGATTGAAGATCTGGAGCAACTTCAAACAAAAAGCAATAACAAACAACAACTGCTGTTGACAGCTCACAGCCCCCAAAGGTCCTATTGCAGACTAAAGATTAAGAGGCTCTGCCAGATAAAAGTGTGCTTCATTGGAGAAACAACTCTGGCCAGGGAACTCTGGAGCCGCTGGACAGTCTCACCACCCTTGCCGATCACCTGGCTGGGAAGGGTGGGAGAGGAAACAAGGCAAGAACGAACCGTCTGATTGTCCTGCACAACAACTGCCATTCAATGCCCTAAAGTGATGCAGTCCCGACTACCATCAAGGGTGTTGCGATAAGACCTTCATGCTAGAAACAATAAGCTACTAGGAACAAGTGCATCGCTTCTAGTAACAAGTGCCTTGCTAGTAGTAACAAGAAGCTATTAGAAACAACTTCTTGTCGGCAAGGAGATCATTATTTTTCATTGTCACCGGATGGCACGGTGATTGCGCTGTGATCGCACGATCCCGACCCTCCGACTTTCTGCTGTAAAACGATTTCTCACCTACTTGATTTTACAAACATTGAACTCAACAATGTGCTTCTGAAGGGTTCAAGTTGCAAAGCTGATTCCATTGCGAAGCTGATTCCATCGCGTGAACACGTTGACCAGTTGCACCCTCTGTGCTCAAACATGTCTCCGAAACGCGCCCGACCATGGAGAGCGGAATCTCAACCCTCAGTGTAGGCCATCAGCACCAAATGCAATAAATAAGGCCCAGTAAAGGCTCAAGATTCAGCACCACCTGAGACCTGCACGTGTCTTCAGCATCCCCTCGCCCGGGGAGGTGATTTTCCTGGCACAAGAAACTGGACAGTTGATGGATGTGTTAAACTGCTAGGAGGAGCCCCTAGTGGCGTCCTTGCTCCTAGTAGTACGCCCCTAGGCTCCAAACCACTGTTTTGGATGTTTGGGAGCCTCAGCAAGGCTGACAATCATCTTCTTGGCTTTCTCCACCTGTCGCAAGGTACAACTGTAGTGACACTGGCTGTGACCCCAAAACTCTCAGCAACACTCGCCACACAAAATGAATGTACTTTATACTTCCGTGTTTCCCTGAACAGAACATATCTGAACTAAAACGATTTGAGACGTTGTACATGTTAGGAGCCTACCAACACCCTTATGAGTCATGAGGGAAGCAGTGTCATGTTCCCATGAGCGCCTGCTCTGGGGATCCGCCCAAATAGACCCGGCAGGTCTCCTGCCACCCAAACCAGGTGCTTCCAATCTTGAACGAGAAAGTATCTTATTGTTGCTAGTAGTAAGGCACTTGTTTCTAGTAGCTTCTTGTTACTACTAGTAAGGCACTTGTTACTACTAGCGTGGCACTTGTTACTACTAGCTTCTCTATGTTCATCGTCCATCAACTGACAAGTGCATCTACCCAAGCCGACACAGCATTTCAAATGGACTTTTCAGTCTTCTAGCATTCATGCATGAATCGTCTGCCTCCAACTTCTCGATCTTTACCTGCGCACCACTGCGCGACCGCACCTGTGCTATTTCAAATTGTTTGCGGACATGGTAGCGGCATGAATACTCGAAGCTTCAGGACTATTCTCTTGCTGTTTTTGTCCAACCTGCTTCGAGACTGTGGTTATGCATGCAACTCGTTTTATAAATCTAGGAACCAAATGAATAGTGCAAGCGCTATCTTGCTTCCTACCTAGGAGCTAACTTATCTCTTACTTGATTACGTACGCACCTACTTGATTAAGTAGTAGGGGGCAGAGCGGCCTTTCAACAACAACAACAACAACAACAACAACAACCGACGTTAGAAAACAGACTCTACATGTTCACCTCAGTTCACCCAATGCTTGCGCATCCTCATGCCGGAAGCTCGTTTCAGTGATGTTCACTTCAAAGGAACTGTGCAGCTCGCATTCGGATGCCCACCAACCCCAAGAAACTTCCAACAGTCTCAAATCCCCAAGCAGGTCACCTAAAAATCTCAGAACCAAATGATTGAGTAAGGAGGCAGGGCCGTGGGCTTAAAAAGAGATAGTAAACAATATGTAACACTAAAAAACTGGACAACCAAGTGACTCTACAAACATTCACTCCACGTCGACCCCCGCGGCCCTGCCTCTGAGATCTGCACCCCGCGGGAGCCGATGATACGACCCGCCACGGCCAGCGGGAACTCTAAGCGCTCATCTCGGTCAAAACTTTAAGCGCTCATCTTGGTCTGATGGTTTGGTCGGGTAAGTACATGCAACTAGCTGGTAAGTACATGCAACTACATGCGCCTACGGGTTGTTTGTTGTTTGCGACAAGAAAGGATAAGAAAGGATCACCCGCTTGGAAAGTGCTTCAAGGCAAGCTTATCTGCGTTCTCCAGCTATCCCAAGCCAAGGCGAGAGCCTTCTTCTCCGGGCCTAGCCATAAAACAGTCTGCAGCCCTCGTTCCAAGGCAATGAGTTGTTTGAGTGTGCGATGCCAAGGCAGGGTTCATATATGAGTATATATATGTCAATTGGCCATGTCTGCCACCAGTCACTCGCAGGGCTGTCGTGCACTTCCGTTCGTCCGAAGGCCATTTCGCGACTCGAGGCTTCGCAGGAAAAAGGCCGCCTGGTCCGCAGGGTCGGACACCTTGGTAGGTGTTTTGTGATTGGTAGCGGAGCCGGTCGAAAGGGACCGGCTCCGGGTAGGATCCCTGAGTTGCGCCATGTCTGCCGCCGCTCCTTTCGACCCTGGAGGTGGAAACAATAGGGTATTCACTGGTGATGATGAAGATGCCAAGGAGTATCGAAGATGGAAGATTTGGACTGCCAACAAGTTGCTGACGCTCAGCGACAAAGTGCCCGCCACGGCTCGTGGCGCCTACGTATACACGTTGTTGGGTGGCAAGGCCTTGGAGGCCGTGGAGCATTTGGAACCATCCTCCTATCAGAAGGAGGGTGGCGAGAAGGTGCTGTTCGAACTCCTGGATCGTCGTTTTCCTCAAAAGGAGGCTTCGGATGAGCTCAGTGAGAACTTGACCCGAAGGAGAATCTCTCAAGTCATGGGTCAGTCGAGCTTCCGAGGCTTTTGACAACCTGCAGCGCAAGAGGAACGTCTCCTTTCCGGAGGAGGCTAGAGGATGGCTCATCCTCCATCGTTCAGGCCTCAATGCTGAACAGGTTGCCGTCGTTTTGGCCAGATCACTGGGAGTGCTTAAGCGTGAAGAAGTTGGAAAGGCAATGCGTAGCTGTTATCCCAATTTTTCCGCGCCCAAGCGCCGTGTTGCTAGCGCTGCCCTGGTTTCCGAAGAAACCCTGCTGGCTGATATGTTGGAGGATGACGAGAACGGTCAGGACCCGTCGTTTGAGGACGTTGAACTCCTGTTGGCTGATGACACTACAGCCGATGATGGAGAACCCGATGACGTGTTTGACGAACGTGACATCAAGGAGACCTTGGCTGTCACTTGGCAGGAGAAACGGAAAAGCCTGGCTCGATTGCAGAAGGATCGCAAGTTCCATGATGCTGGCCACCTTCGACGACAGTTCAGAGTTGAAGTGGAGGAGCTCAAACGTCGTACAAGATGCCACAAGTGTGGCCAGGTGGGACACTGGTCCAAAGAGTGCCGCAATTCGAGCAAGGGCTCAAAAGGAAAAGGCAAAGGTCATGGTAAAGCCCCAGCAACCTCCAGTGAGTCGGGAGCTGCTCTGGTCGAACATTTTGTTGCCGTGGTGATTCCAGAGTTGACATTGCTTCAACGTGTACGAGCTCTTCATTCTCCACTCGCTCGAGAACCCCCTCAGGAGCTGCTCTTAGTGTCCAGTCCAGGATATGGTATCCTGGATTCTGGGTGCGGTCGTTCCATTGTGGGAGAGGATATACACTGAGCGAGTTCCGTGAGTTGTGGAAAGCCCATGGTTTTGTTGACCCTGAGCCCATTCAAGAGCTGAACCATTTCCGGTTTGGGAGTGGTGCCCAGGAAACTTCGCGTCAAGTGATCCCCATGCCGGTCGTGTTGGGAGGTCGTTCGGGAGTGATCAAAGCAGCCCTTGTGAAAGGTCGTGCTCCCCTGTTGATCTCTCGGAAAGCCCTGATGACGCTTCAGGCCAAGATTGACTTTCAGAAGGCCGAACTCACCCTCTTTTCGGATGAAGTCAAAGTTCCTCTTCAGACCAACACCGCTGGCCAGTTCATTGTAAACCTGTTGGGTGACAAGACTCCTCATGAAGCATCCTTTGAGGAAGTCATGGAGACACATGTAGTGCCACCGGCTGAGCAGCCGTCTCATGACGCACCGGAGTCTGATACACCGCCAGCTGATCAGACGCCCGTGGATGAGCCTCTCACCTCAGGACACCTGTCGATTTGGTCTCGTATCGACGATGGATTGAAATTTGCACCACTCTCCGGTAAGCAAGGTCCTAGTTGGAGCCAGGTCGTCCGTCGCCGGGTCACCGATTTCGTGTCTGGAGAAGTCATTCTTGATCAACAGATAGAACACCATAAGGGCAAGAACCAATATCACACGTTGATTCCACCACAGCACGTTCGAGTGAAGACCGAGTTCTTTTTCCGGCCACAGGAGAAGATGTGCCCTACTGAGTGTCTGCCGGTTCATCACCTGCGACAACTGAGATCTCAGGTGAAGTGCACGAACGCATGTCCAGCCACCATGATCAAGGGTCGCCGATTCGTTGTAGCCGAAGTTTTCAGTCCACCTCGATTTGCACCTGTCGCTCAAGAGTTTGGGTTCCACGCGACATCATATGATCTGATAACCGGATACGACTTCACTAAGAAAGAGCATCGCGACCTGGTCCAAGAAGAGCTGGATATCTCACCACCCGACCTGTTGGTCCTGTGTCCGCCTTGCACTCATGAGGGAGGGTGGTGGCATCTCAATGCCGCTAAGCTGCCTCCGCATCTAGTTCTGAAGCTGAGGATGCGAAGCCGGATGTTCATCAAGTTTTGTCTGGAGCTGTTTGAACAACAGGTGTCTAAGGGTAGGTTCGCTATGTTCGAGCACCCCCTTGGATCTCAAGTTTGGACTCTACCTGACATGAAGAAGCTGTTGAACCGATTCTATTCGACCAAGTTGCACATGTGTCGATATGGTATGAAGATGCCCCACCATGATTGTTTCATCCGGAAACCCACTCGTCTTTTGATCAGTCATCGGAACATGGAGTCTCTAGGGCTGGTTTGTCCAGGAAAGCAACATCCTCAGCATGAATGTCATGATGTGATTGCCGGTTCAGCAGTTGGGGTTGGTTCCATTAGCAAGTTTGCAGGTCAATATCCCCCAGCTTTTGTTGAGAGTGTCCTTCGAACCATTCCTGCTTTTGCAAGGGTCTGGGAAGCATCCTTAGTGCAGTGTGGGGATGAATCGTTCTCACACGTGGTTGAAGAATGCCTGGCAGCCCACCGCGAGGATCTGACACAGCCGGAGGTCGAGGACGCTCGAGTGAATGGTGCCCTGATAAAATTACACAAGAACCTAGGACGCCCGTCCAACACTGATTTGGTTCGAATCCTTCGTCATGGTCAGGCTTCGCAGAAGGCCATAGCCATGGCCCGGGATCTGGTGTGCGATTTTTGCAAGGCTCACATCAAGCCTCATGTGCCGCTTCCAGCACAGTCAGGTCGCATCACTCAGTTCAACCAGTTAGTCGGGGTGGATGTGAAGTACCTCCCGGGTTGGTTGCCTAACCAAAAGATCAAGTCTGTTAACATGGTTGATCAGGGGTCGTGCTTTCAACAGATTGTTCCCTTCTTTGAGCAAGAGACATCAATGTTGATTGGCAAGATCTTTGCCGAAGCCTGGGTCCGCTGGGCCGGACCTCCGGAGTCTGTGATCGTCGATCCTGCACAAACCATGTTAGGTGAAGCATTCCAATCGTATCTCGAGTCCATGGGAACCCACTGCAAGGTCATTGCTGCAGAAGCACACTGGCAATTAGGACGCACTGAGAATCATGGAGGTTGGTTTGGTAGGATTCTGCAAAAGATGATTGATGAACATTCGCCCTCAAACAAAGAAGAATGGTTGGAGTGTGTTCGCCATGCACATGTGAAAAACCAGTCCATTCAGTCGTATGGCTTTACACCATTTCAACATGTGTTCGGCAAGAATCCAAACCTTCCTGGGGACTTGATGTCCGAACCCCTCCACATTGTTCCGGCCACCGTGGGTCTTCATGAGGAAGCCATAGCTCGCGCACAAGCGCTGCGTCGGTCGGCTCGCATGGCCGTAGTAGCTCTCCAGGATGACAAAGCAGTTCGCGCTGCCATGTCCGGTCGCCCTAGGGTGGTCATGGAATTCAAAGCCGGTGAACTGGTTGCATATTGGCGTCAACAGAAGGTCATTCAGGGGACGGTTCAACAAGGGGGTAGATGGCATGGCACCGCAGTTGTCATCGGCATGGTAGGCAGAAATGTGATTGTCGCCCACCGGAAACAGATTTTTAGGTGTGCCCCTGAACAACTCCGACCGGCAACCTCCGAAGAGCGTACCATGATTGAATCACCTGAAGCTGAACTGTTAGGCATCAAGGACTTGATTGAGGGTGGAACTTTCAAAAGCAATCAGTATATAGATCTAGTGCCTTCCGAATATCCTCCTTCTGGGGTTGAGTTGCCGGACCCATCAGGGCGTCCTGTGGCGTCTCAAGCGCACGAGTCGGCTGAGCCGAGCCAAGATCCTGGTCCCTTCGAGATCTCTTCTCCGGGAAGCCATGTAGACATGCATGTCACAAAACCGCATGATGCCGAGGTACATGAGCCAGAATCTCAGGTCAAAGATCGTGCAATTGAGCCGTATGTGAATCCCAAGTCCCTACCATATGTCCCGGAAGAGGAATCCTCGTATGGTCCAGCGCGGCGTAGAGTATCCACCAAGTCTCAATCGTCCTCACTGTTTCGGCCACCAGCGATGCTAGCGGATGATTTCTCAGAGTTGATGAAAGACCTCGTGCCATCTCTTATCGAGAATGCCATTTCGAGTGAACAGGGAACATCAAGCAGTTCCGCTTCATCCGCGGCCGGAGTCAAGCGTGATCGTGAAGACGATGTGACACCCATTGAAGAACCACCGGCTCAACGTGCACGGAATGTGGATTCGGAAGTGCTGTCGATCGAGGAAGTCGCCGAAGCTTGGAACGATGGCATTGAAACCCTCATTGCTGCTCACATCCAAAAGAAGCTCAGTAAAGAACTCCCTCCTCATGGCAACCCACCAGAACTTCAAGCTTTGGTGGATGAATCCAAGGTAGCTGAATGGGGAACCCTCGAAGAGAAAACCGCCATCAAGATTCATTATGGGAAAAAGGCTCAAGAGTTGAAGCGACGCTTTCCGGATAGGTTTATTGGATCTCGGTTCGTAATCATTAGAAAGGCTGCTGAAGAGGGAATCGCCATCGATCCTCTCAACGTCAATCCCTCGACCTACCGTGTGAAGAGTCGTTGGTGTCTTCAGGGCCATTTGGACCCAGATCTCGATGAGAAGGCTTCAACCGGATTGCTTCAGTCTCCCACCTTGTCCCAGATGAGCCGTATGCTGATTTAGCATCGCACGGGTGGGTCCTTCAGCTCGGAGACATAAAAGGCGCCTTCATGGAGGCCGGTGAACTTCCTCAGAAATTCAGGCCTCTATTTGCTTCCATGCCCAAGGGTGGAATCCCCGGAGTGCCAGCAGATGCTGTAATAGAGGTGATTGGAAACGTTTACGGCCAGAATGACGCGCCAAGCGCGTGGTACCGCACTTTCGATTCTGAGGCTCAACAGGCGGGTTGGATCAAGTCAAAATTTGATTCTTGCCTCTATACCCTTAGAGATCCAAAGAACGGTTCCTTGTGTGGTGTCATGGGAGTGCATGTTGACGATACCGCCGTAGGTGGTTCAGGTCCCCTGTTCGATTCGGCTGTTCAGAAACTGAAGGCTCGATTTCTCTACCGGAAGTGGCGTATGGGGGAAGGTGAGTTCTGTGGTGCGTACTACCGACAGGATCCCAACACCAAGGGTATTTCGATGTCTCAACAGCAGTTTGCCGAGTCCATGCGTAGTGCATCAATCCCAAAGGGAGCTGAAAATCAAGCTCTGTTGACAGAGAGCCAGGTCAGGTTGTTGCGAGGAAAAAAACGGTAGCCTCAACTGGCTTTCTTCTCAATCTCGACCTGATCTTGCAGTCCAGACAAGTCTAAGTCAGCAGTGTTTCCCGAAACCGACCATTCGTCATCTGAGAGATGCCAACAATGCTATCCGACGGGCAAAACAACATAAAGACTTGTGCATCTATTTTGCACCTGTTCCTCCCAGTGATCTGACTTTGCGCTGTCATTCCGACGCGGCTTTTGCCAATGTTGGTGCTCACACCCAAGCCGGGTATGTGATAGCGTTTTGCAATCAAAACCTCAACGAGGGACAAGTCTCCTCGTGGTCTCCGGCCGTGTGGAAGAGCTACAAGCTCAGCAGGGCGGTCAGTTCGACGCTCGGAGGAGAAGCCCAAGCCATGTCTGCAGCTTCGGGTACAGTGGAATGGATGTGTTTGTTGCTAGCTGAAACCTTGGATGGTCCCTTTCAACCACTAGAGAGTAGACAGATCATGAGTAGGCGAGCCCCAATCCTCATGACAGACTGTAAGTCTCTGTATGATCATCTGATTAGTCCATCAGCACCCACAGCAATTGAAGATCGTAGAACCAGCATCGATGTAGTTATCATCAGAGAGTCTCTTAAAAACACCCAAGGTATTATCCGATGGCTCCCTACTGATAGAATGTTGGCAGATGCTTTGACAAAAGATAAAGCGGACCCGGCCGATCTGCTGAGATCATGCGTCCGCGCTGCCTGTTACCAGGTTTCTCCAGAAAGTCTGATCCTAGAGCAACAAGCCGAGGAAAGAAGGAGACGCCAGCAACTGCGCCAGTCCAAGGACCAGGATAACCCGGTCCCAACAGATAATTAAGTTAGATGTAAAGATACAATACTTGCTAGAGTATCGGTGCTTGCAACATTCGTCGTTTCTCCCAACTGAGTGTCATTTGCTGTTTTTGGACGTGCTCGTTTTGTCTAGGACCTGTTACTCAAGTGCCGAAGGGAAACTCTGTTCTCAAGTGATTGTGCACATCGTCTTGCATGTTTTTGACGTTAATGTATCGCTCGTAGCTGTTCTTCGAAGCTCAAGGGTGTGTTTCGTAATCTCGTGACCCACTGTGACTGAGGGCCATGCCATTAAATGAGGCTGAGAGTCGCCAGCTCCAACTTCTGTTGGCCAAAGCGAACGAACCCAATGTCGGAGCCGAGGATGGTGATTTCACCCTTGTGCAAGGTGAAGTCAACCGTGGTTGGGGAGCCATGACTGATGGTTCCAAGCGCCGTGAGGAGTCCAATTCCGGAGAACCAGTCCTCAAGCGTGCTGACAAGAAAGCCCCTTCTGGCTATTCGATGTCACCCGGCATGTCACCACCATGGAAGTTAGCCCCTGATGGCCCGATGAGCTCAATGGATGATCCTGATCTTCCTCACGAGACCGGTGAGAGTGTTCAAAGTGAAGGCAAGATCTTGACTTTGCCTCAGGGAGTGTCCAGCGTTGAAGTATGCAGTGGTGTTGCGCACGTGCCTTTTCGTTGACCGGCACCATGCGCGACATGTCCCAATATTTACTTTTCATGAATGGCAAGAGCTCGAGCTCTCAGTTCTCGGATGGTCCAATCATTCCGGGATCGGATGTCCGCCGTCAATACAAGACGGCAAAGTGAAGTGCTCGTTTTGCATCTAAGCCCATCTAGAGCAGCTCCTTTAGAAGATAGAAAACATAGAATATAAGCAGTGTCAATTGGCCATGTCTGCCACCAGTCACTCGCAGGGCTGTCGTGCACTTCCGTTCGTCCGAAGGCCATTTCGCGACTCGAGGCTTCGCAGGAAAAAGGCCGCCTGGTCCGCAGGGTCGGACACCTTGGTAGGTGTTTTGTGATATATATATATATATGAGTGACATGATAGCTGAAGAAGAGGCCAACCACCTCCTCCACCTCCTCCTTCCTGTCTACTGTCCCAGCTTTTCACTTGTGGCACCAGGTATGTAGCGGCCTCGGCATCTCTGTGACCTGCTTCGCTTCCTCCGCGATGCTTTCAACCAGCTCCCTGGCGCCACAAATGCTCGTCAGGTCTTGGAGAGGCACAAACTCTCTGGAGCGTGATCTGGCTCGGTAGAATCCCACTAATGTGCTAAAAACCAGAACCAAATGTCTCCACTGCATCAGTCTCCAATTGTCTCCAGTCTTGATCCCACCACCCGCCTGGCAGATGCCACCTGCTCATCGCTGCCTGTAAGGAGCACGTGGCAGCGCTCCTGGAAAAAAAGGCGTCCCTTGGCTTGCCCTTGCGTCCCTGTTTCTTCGTCTTTGGAACAAGTGGAAGGTCCTAACCCCACCGTCGGGAGCCGTGAGAAATCATCACTGTCACGTTCACCTTGCTCGCACCCAGCCGTCATCCCAGTCCAAGCCAGCAAGTCTTAAGTTCGAGCGGATGCTCAGAAGGGCACAAGCCAACTATGTGTGCGAAATGGCCAGAAAATCAGGGAAATGTGTTGCTTTGATAAAATCTAACATTCTGTCTTTCATTGGGTCAATTTCCTGACAAAAGGAAACGATAAGTTACCATAAATCGCTTGCCATGGCTCGCTGTCACCGTGCATGCACAACCACTTGCCGACTGTCAACACTGATGTCTGAAATCACCGCTTTCCGATCACTGGCAGAATCCCTGTGTCCTCTTGCTTCTTCACCTGGATTTTCGCACCACTGGTCTCCCGTACCTTGAAGCAATGTCAGTCATGTCTTCCTTCAGCTGATATTTCAAAAACTTTGGGCTTTGCTTGACTATTAGCACACTCAAACTACCAGATCCCAACATCACCGAAAGAAGGCCTACTTAAATACAAGAAGGTTGCACGACTTCATGCCTTGGTTTGAGGTTCAGACATGACTTCACCGGGTTGTTTGTTTAGAAGAAGCATCAAAGAACCCAGGCCATCGATCCGCCTCATTGATCTTGCTACCACGAGGGCCGATCAAGGCGCCCAGGATGCTGGCGGGAAACTCCAGGTCGGCAGCGATGTCCTTCTCCTGGAAGGCGACCCTCTCAGGTGGCCGCTTAACTGCCTTGCTTTTTTGTGTCGAATCATGGAAGTCAATCCAACTGATTGCTTGCTTTGCTTTCACAGAGTGCTTTTTGTATCCCTGAAAAAAAGCCCGAAAGCCTGCTAGATATGGCTAGCGGCTAGATGCATGCTTCATGAGACGACAGGCATGATTGCACAAGAGAACAAAGGAAGAGCTTGGGACGACCAATCGACTATTGGGGAGTTGTGCCCTCTACAGCAAGTTGCCAGGCTGACAGCAATCTTCATTAGGGCGGTTGCAAATGCTTAAGGGGGCATCCAATCTCTCTTCGCAAAATGTATATCCCTGATCCTTTGTGGTGGACTTGCCACCAGCGGTGAATGCCCCAATTATCCTATCCATTGAGGATCCTTCTCTCTAGGTTGCATCTTTGATGACTTTGGCTACTCACAACAGCAACCGGATCTCCTCAATCTGGTCACCTCACATCGGGTAGCAGTAGGAACAGCAAAGTTGCGGCGAGAATTCAATAAGACAGTGGGAGTGGGGACAGTGGGGCCTGAAACTGGCTGCATCTCAATCATCGTTCACAATACATTCAGGCAATCCTTTCTCACATATATAAATGTCCCTAGAGTGCCTTTCCTTTGCGCCGCGGCTCCATCAGCCAACTGGTCGGATGATGATCCCTCCCGCCAAGCCTAAGGGATGTCGCTCCAAAGCAACCTGGAGAACACCACCGACTTGCAAGGAGGAAAGGAAGAGACTGACCACTGTGACCCTTCAACTTCTCAAATATCATTGAATAATCCTTCAGTTAAAGCAATCATCTCAAACAGGGGATTCAGCAGCAAGCATGCTTACAAGGTCGCCATGCTGTGAAGGCTAATTTGAAAAAGCATTGTCTGTGGCGGATGCTGACAGCATGATATGGATTCCAAATGCTTGGTGGTAATTTTCCGCAAGCAAATTAAATATGATTGTTCTTGGGTAATCTTTGGCGGAAAGAAAGAATGAAGAAGGGAAGAAAAAAAATAAACACTTCATGAAGCGAGGCGAATGATTAATGGCTCGGTGCGATTCACCGACGACAGCCAAAACGGTGAGCTTCTTCAGTATCCTCGACAGCGCACCCGATCTGCTTGCTCTCGGATCATGGTCTTGGCTCGGCGGACCTCGTGAGCAAGACCAGGGAATGATGTGAAAGTCTGAATCCTCTACGGCCGGAGCCCCTAGTAGCGTCCTTGCTACTGACATGTGCAAGAAGTAGTCGAGGGTGAAGGATCAGCCCAGGTACCCAACAAAGTTTACAAACACTCATGCATGCGTCTGTCCAAGTAGGTTGCTCCTTCACAAGCATGTATATGCATATATAGTTTGCTAGTGTGCTCTGTGTCGAAATTGCAAAAGTGTCGAAAACCTGCCGACACCTCAAAAAACACCAGCCTGCTCCTCCGTCCCAGTGATCCTGAACCTCACAGGTGAGTAAACTGTTTTGATGTCTGCAAATATTTCTCACAACCACAGCCTGCCCTTACTTCAAGGAAGCCAAAGGCTTATTCCGGTTGTCAACAAAGAGGATAGTCTTAGCAAAGGAAGCTGAGGCGGCGAGGGTGCAGTGTCAGTCCAAATCCGATGTCGTCTGAACTGGCGAATGATATGGATAGACTCAGAATAAGACTACTAGCTTCTTGTTACTACTAGTAAGGCACTTGTTACTACTAGCGTGGCACTTGTTACTACTAGCTTCTTGTTACTGGACCCTGCAACACGATTGCTGGTATCAGCTTTCCTCAATACTAAAGAAGTCCATAGAAGTCCGCAAGTTCGAGACATCCTCACATGTCAAAACATGCAAAAGAACTCTCAACACTCCTGAAGGCAAAAAAAAATAGAACGCTGATGTCTACACCCAAATCCTTCTCCATCTGAGGCATCGGACTCACAATGATCTTCATCACGGTCCTTCCAGGTCGCACAGCGGTCGCACAGCGGTCGCACAGCGGTCGCACAGCGGTCGCACAGCGGTCGCACAGCGGTCGCAGAGGACATCAGTGGACTAATGGCGATGGCCTCCAACTCCAACCTAATAGCGATAAGGATCTCATCGGCTTGCTGTGGGACTTGCTTATCATGGAAAGGAAATGACAGGAAGGATGGCTAAACTACAGGCTGCCAATCTCTTGTTGACTGACTCTTAAGGAAATTATCATATTCACTCTGACGGGTGGCTGAGAGTCTACAATCCCATTAAAGTCAATCCATCGAAACCCAGGCTGTTTAAAAGTACATATCCAAAAATGGATTTAACTTAAAAGCTATATATATATAAGTATAATGTATATATATATACACACTACATACTTGGAATTGTCGTCAACAGCACATTCTCCTCTGCATCAATCCGAGCTCCACTATCTTGTCGGATGGTATTGATGACGCCGCCTCCCCTGCCAATCACCTTGCAGCAAATCTCAGAACAACAAAAAATGGTGGAAGCCAAAGGTAAGAAGCAAAGGTCGTCTTGTTAATGTGCAAAAGCCCCTAAATCCTGCAGACTGTCCGACAAGACATAGCTTCAGGCCAAGTTGCTCGACCCATCAAGTTCCGCCTCACCAGAACCGAGTCTTTGCCTTGGTGACATGCCTACGCCGTGAACGCCTCCTTGCTGGGTTCTCAGACTTTGGACCATTGGAACTTCCATCAGCTTCCCAGGCCCTGGCAATTCCCTTCAGCACGGCTGCTGCTGCTACGGCGACGCCGCCTTGTACGGTTTCGTGGCAACCTTCCCAAAAGGGAAGACGCCTCCAACCTAATAGCAATGGCCTCCAACCTACAAGCGATGGCCTCCAACCTAACAGCGACGGCCTCCAACCTAACAGCGAGGGCCTCCAACCTAAAATTTGGACCTAAAATTTAATGAATGTGTCCCCATCTCGTTCGTGTGAATGAGATCAGGCCAAACGCCGGGGGATGTTTGTCGCTGGGTGAAGGACGACACCCATGAAAATCCGCTGAACCGACCACTGATTCAGCAACTGTAACAAGGACGCTATTAGGTGGAGGCCATCACAAGTATATAGGCTGTAATTACAGTAGGCCATTGCTACTAGCAACAAGAAGCTACTAGTAACTGTTGCAGTTTAACTGGGCGTCCCACCGCGGCGAGCGCCGCCCCGACGGCTCAGCACCTGAGCTAGTGTGGCCTTTGGATGTAAAGACTCCATCCCGTAGAGAGGCAACCCACAAGAGGTATACAAGAGAGGTATGATAGTTCCCAAGATAGGCTCTAAAAATCAAGATCACACCTTTCACAAAGCAAGCACCTGAAGGAAGGCAGTGAGGCGAAGTTCCTATGCGAGTTGGCCTGAAATCTTTCCATATTCACTCTGCGATCATGAATCTCTTCACATATGGCCCACACTTGACTTCAACCCTTGCCTGTTGCTCAGCTTTCGGATCTTTTTTGAGACTAAACCCCAAAACCCATCCTGCCTGTATTGGGCATGGGCCAAGGCCAAAGGGGCGGGAACCTCAGATCACATCAGAGTTTCGGACCCTGCAAGTCCAGCTGGAGTGGAATGAGTTTCATCCTGTGTCCAGTGAAGTTCCCCTCATCTGTCACCCTCAGTGGCAGATGTGTATTCAATCTCTTTGTTCATCTTCATAGTCCGAAGGGATCAAAAGGGTTGCAGTAAGTTTGCATTGTTTGGCCTACAACTACGGTGCTCCAGGCAGCGGGAACATCGGGAATGGCATCCCGCCGGGCATCGGAGGCCTAAGTGCAGCAAGCGAAGCATCTATATACTTGTTCCGAATAGCTTCTTGCTCCTAGTAGTATGGCCAGGAGCCCCTAGTAGCGTCCTTGCTCCTAGTAGCAATGCCAGGAGCCCCTGCGTCCTCTTGTTCCTATTATACAATAAGGGCGTTGCATCTATTTGCTAAGCTTGCTGACTTGTCAATTCTTCACTCTCGTTTAAGGTGTCCTAAATTTGCTGATTTGTCTGCTCCCTCGGGCACATGTTTGTCCTCGGTTTCGTTGGAAGTCGAAAGGTGCAAAGTGTGCTGATGCCTCACACAACATAGGCAATATCTTCAGGTCTTAATTCCAGACGCCGCAGTTAACACAGGCCCGGCCTAGCATATGAGGTGAGGGTATGGTCAGAACGGAGTTCTCTTGTTGCTGTGGAGCATTGGTCTGATGCTTAGAACATCTTCGAACCCTTCCGACTTCCGAGCTGGTTAGCAAATCACATAACGGGAGAAGAACCTAGTGAGTGTGCTGGAAGCAACAGACCAAGAGAAAAGACATCAAAAGAGCAACGAGACAGCCCTGGAGCAGCAAAACTCATCGCGTGCTTGTTCACTAGTAGCTTCTTGTTTCTTATAGCTTCTTGTTGCTACTAGTAAGGCACTTGTCACTAGAAGCGATGCACTTGTTCCTAGTAGCTTCCTGTTCACTCGTATTGTGGACACACCTGGCACTTGGCCCTGCATCCATCTAGCGCGCAGGACCAAACTGCCTAGGCCCCAAGCACAAAGGCCTGGCAGTTCGGGCCCTTTTTTCGATCGGCCATGGCGGCGCCTGGGCTGGAGTGGCATCGTACCAGGAGGCATTTCCCAAACTAAAGAAGCTCCAGCTATGCAATCCATTTGGGAGCCAAAAGCCTTCATCGTGAATCGCTCTTTCTGGGCTTGTCCAAAAGTGACCATCGAATGTGGCCTGGACCGCTGAGGTCTTCGGGAATCGGACCGACCTGCGCTGAGGGTCATGGGTTTTTGGCCTTCTAGTAACAAGTGCCACGCTAGTAGTAACAGGTGCCTTACTAGTAGTAACAATGCTTGCTATTAATTTGAGTTTAATTTAATTCTATAAACTAAGCGAGTTTCTCCAGGGAGAAAGTCTGTCAGGAGTCGTTGGGACATCTTGACAGTGGAAGTCGTCGGTAAATCGGTTTCGGTTGCAACATCGAACATGACAATCAACCTGGCATGATTATCTGATGCATCCCAACACCATATCACGCCACCATGCTATCATGTTTGGAGATTTCAGTCAATCCGAAGCTGCTTCCGCACTGAGCCTCCTCGACTTCGGCTATCATTCCGGCTGCGGCTTCTGCGGCTACTTCGCCAGCTACGGCTTCGCCGACCCTGACATGTTTGATTCGCAGGTGAGATTATTAAGCGAGAACAGCAGGAAGCCCAAGCCAGGCCGCAACAACGTGTCTTGAAGGGATATATATATATATATGCTTTATCAGGAAGTCCAAGAATGTGCTGAAAAGTTTGCAGACGGATGTCCCTGCAAGTCTTTTCTTTTTGGGTCATCCCTTCAGCTGGTCCCCCTGCCTGTGGGCTGCGTCGAGACTCCCGCGAAAAGCTGCGCCCTCAAGTTGGGCCGGTAGTTTGAAAGAATGGTCAACTCCTCAGTCAGTCATGTACTAGTTTATCCAAGCTAAGCTTCCCTTTCACGTTCTCTGTTGCGGCTTGAATCATTGAAGCTCAGGATCAGTGGAGACGCAACATGATCACACCAAAGCCAAGGCAGCCAAGGTGTGGTTTGTCACCCATGTACAGTATACAAACCTCTATTCAAGGATCGAAGCATCGTGTGGAACCATACAAATCATCCATGTTGGCTCATTTGATGCCATCAAGCCACGACGGCTGTTGCGATGTCGAGATCGGCTGGGACTACGGCTGTCTCGCCTTAGCGGTCTGTCATGATTGGATGATTGGATCGTCATGACATGTCACGGCCACTTGGCGGCCAAGCTGGACAGTAGTGCTGCCATCTAAGTCCACCCCAGGATAGCCCAGGTAGGTTGAGACCGACAAACAATCTTCCTTTCGATCAAGCTTCTGAGAGCGCTTCCCATGCCTCATGACCGGAGCATATTAAAGCCTGCTCACTCCATGGCAGGGCACAGCGAACTTCAGCAGTAAGAGCCGTGTCGAGGCATGTTTAGGACAGAGTTGCTCAAAAAGACACTTGGGAGGCTCAGCTGTGAGTCCAAAGATATCATGCATCCTCCGGCATTGGTTTGTGAATGCCCAAGAGTCCAGGAGCCGTGCTTTGTCATTGTCTAGAACATTCCAACTGTATAGGGTCTACAGTCAACACCTCACCCCAAGTAGGGTTATAGCATTTGCACAGAGTATTGGTTCCCCGAAATTGGGGAGTAAGCATGACTATCAATCCGAGGCGATGGCCAACCGCCACCTCGGACGGGAATGATCCCCCCTGAACTAGATGATTTCTTGACAGGCTAGAGCCAGAAAAGCCACGGTTGCACACTCAAGTACGGCTTACACAACCCATTGAGGCCTGAGAAGGATGCGCCAAACCAATCAATCCTGGTGCAAAGACTCAGCAAATTTCACTATCAACATTCTCGTTGGCACAGGTAACTGCATTGAGGGCACCAGAACACCTGTTGCTCTACGTGGTAAGGCATCTGAAGGGACTTGAGCAGCAGCGGGGCACGGCCAGGACTGCATCTACACTGATCTTGGCAAGCTGATCTTTGCGGCTGCTCACCACCTTGGAAGATTCGGCATCCATGAAGACCCCAAATGGCCGTAATTACTCTACCAAGTCCTGCAGTATGCAGGTTGTTTACTGTCAACTAAATGTTCAAGACCACACTGACACCGATTTTCTAGTGTGAAACTGAAGAATCTTCTCCACCTTTTGGAAGCGAGAAACTCAACCGCATTTGCTGCAAAGTGTGCAATATTTACTGCGGCATAGTTAACAGATTTGTGTGTTCATAGGCAGTCAATCTTTGGTGATCCGACACCACGCATGTATCATTAATAGCGATGCCTTCCCGGAAAGTCTGCGCTCCATCAGCCCAAATCCCCACCTTTGACCCCAAGGCAGTGCTGGCTGCTTTTCGAAGCGCTGCGCGGTCCTCAGAAAGACAAGGGCTTTGTCCATGTGTCCCAGGAAAAAGTGTTGCTAAACATAACACCTGTCCACAAGACAAGCCATTTGCGTTCAAGGCACATCTGCTTGAATGTCTACAACCTTCGCAATCTCCTCCACTTTCTTCACAGCCACCTGGAGCTGGCCCAGCTTTCACAAACACGTTGAAGCTCAGCCAGAAGATTCAATGTTGCCATGACTTGGGTCGTTGAAGCTCAGGAGAAGTTCACAAAATCCCACGACTGGAAAAGCCCGTTGCAGAAGCGCAGATGGCAAAGACTGTACGTCCAACATCAACTGGCTTGAACCTCATTCAAGCATGTGCTCTCACCTCTACTGGCTTGCGTCGAAAGGTGGCAAGACAAGGGTTTCATGAAAACTACATTGAAATGATTGTTGCCTCTTGGGTCACCCAGAATGCAATGGCACGGAAGTTCAGGAATCTTGCCAAGATCCATGGATGCCCACCCTTATTCTAGCCACGTGGGCCATAAAGAGGATGATTCGATCTTTCCCGATGCCTCGCACGCTTTCTCGAAGCCGCTGGCAATACGCAATGGGTGGATGCCCTTCTCTATGAGGTCCAAGGACTGGCAGAACGTGCAGAAGAACTGACGGAATAAGCTATGCAGCTACTGCGCGGGCAGTCCAAGCACCGATTCGGAAGTTCTATAGGGCCCAGAGAATCCATGAGAATCCTGCTGACGGGCAGGTTACTGTCTCAATTAACAAACCTAGAAGCCTGTCAATGTATTCTACGAGCAATGCGATTCATTCTGTCCAAGAAAACTTCCAGCGATTGGAAGACGCCTTTTTCTCCTCGTTTTGGTGTGAAAAAACGATTTCTGGAGGTAGGTCATTAACACTCTGGCCGCTTTGGACCAGGTAAATGGCTCACTGAGGCAAACCACCTTGGTCCCATGGACGAACGAAGCCACAGCTGTCAGAACCACTTGATCACTTGATATATTCATAGCGCATAGTTTTGGAGGAAGCTGCTATTTCAGTTCTGCTTTCGCTCCGTATTGAAATCAAGCGCCTAGGGACCTAGAGTATGTTTGGGTTGCATGCATTTTGTGGCAAAGCGGCTTTGCTGGTCCTTTCCCACACAGCCTAGAATAGGTGTTCGTTATGTTCGTTGGGAAACCAATCGGATAGAGGCTTGCTTTCGGAAACTCTCCCAAACATCTCCCAAAGTCATCATGTTCGTCAAGTCCCAGAGTCTCCCAAAGCACTCTTGGGCCCTCTGGCGCCATGTCATCGAGGCAAAGGTGGTGGCGGGTGCCACTTCGAGACATTTGCCACCACCTTCGGCTCGATCTCTACAGGACCTCAGCTCTGCCTTACCGCAGGTGAGCTCACCCATTGACTCGTGAACGAAAGCGGGATGCACACTTCATAAGGCCCATCCAAGGAACATCTCAACCTTATTATTTTCTGTGGGCCAGGTACAGCAAATGATTTCACGAAGATTCCACCAAATGCAGGAACGACCACTGTGACCACTGTAACCATCCCTTCTTCCGAAGCTCAAGCCCTGGACCAGCCGCCCAGCCTTTGAAGTTCATGTTGCTGATGCGTCTCATCTCAGCAAGCAACATGAACTCAACCGGAAAAAGGCCAGTACTCGCCCATTCACATGACGCCTGAGTCAAATACCCAATCAGTGACGAAGTATTGTGGATCCGGTGAGGACATCTTGGAGGCCTGCACGAAAACACTGTGATGAAATCAATTGGATCACACAGAGTCTGGATCAAAAGGGCAGGCGGCAAACCATATGAGGATGATAAAAGGAAAATCAGAAGCTTGGTAAAGTGCATACATCCTTCACAGTTAGGCTAGATGCAGTTTATAAATATGTAGCTGCTCTTGCTCGGATGGATGGCCAAACGCCCTTCGTTCGCAATCAAAAGGAAACTGTCCACTAGGATCCCATACAGCCAAGTGCTGTCAGGCAGGAGATCAAAAAACACGATGTAAAGAGCCCCATCACCAGCTTGACTTCAACTATATAAGGGCTTGAGGATCTTGAAGTTGCAGAATCCGTCGTCAAGTGCCTCTTCTGATTGACGCCAAAGCCAGAAGCCTGGCTTCCTAGCGATCAACTTCTGGTACCCCCCATGGGTTGAGAAGCACTGATTTGTTGTTCGAAACACTTTGCACTGGATTCACATATGAACACAAGAAACTGTACACAGAACAACGATCCGGGTGACCTGGTCACTAAGGCTGCGGCCGAGGCGGTGCAGGTGGTGCAGGGAAGAACTGGCCATAGGGGTTGTATTGGCCATCAGGGCCCCAAAACCTTGACACCTCACCTGCATGGCAGGTCAGTCTCATCACACAAGATCGCACCAATGACTCACCCAAGGTCCATAGCCACAAATCACTTAAGTGAAAGCAGGAAATATAATATATGTTCCCCATTTCCCCATGCCATCAAAGAAGAGCTTTTAACTGAGTCTCGTCCCACCGTCCCATCAAAACACGCGCTCACAGTTTGTGTATAAACACAAATCGAAACTTTAAAGCGAAGCTCCCGAGGATACAAACTGAGGTAAATTCTAATGCACCTTGGATCGACTCCCCGCACTTGGCCTGCCAGCTCTTCTTTGGCATGCCTCCGCTGCCTTCGGCCAGGTCCGCGGCGGCTGGAGCTCGCCTCACCTGCCTGGCCGACCTGGCCGGCCTGGCCATTCCGGCCAGCCTCGCGAGCCTCGCGGCTCTGGCTGAGGCCAGATCCTTGGCACACGAAGGCAAAAGATCCGAACAAGATGTGATGGAAATATACATACATACATACATACATACATTACATTACATAACATTACATAACATTACATAACATTACATAACATTACATAACATTACATAACATTACATTACATCGCATTACATAACATTACATAACATTACAAAACATTACATAACATTACATCACATCACATTACATTACATTACATTACACGCATACAAGCCCGCATGCAAACATGCAAACATGCATACATGCACACATGCAGACACGCAGACATGCATACATGCATACATACATATCTATATCTATATTTATTGCGCGTATTTACATTGTACCTATCGCCCTACCTATCTACCATACCTCTCTGCCTACCTACCTATCTATCTATTCATCTATCTATCTGCCTAGCTGTGAATATGAAAATACTGCGTATCAAGAGCGCCATCTTCGTCCAGCATCAGCTTCGGCACAGCGCGGGCGCGAGCGCGCAGCAGCCGGACAGCGCAAACATCGTTGGCCTGGGCCACCGGCGCTGCAGGCACTTCTGCGCCCACGGCGGCGCAGTCGCCACCCGCCGCCTCCACTCGACCAAGCGCAGCCACAGAGGGGATTGCACATTGCTGCTGCAAGGCGGAGTCCCGTATAGAGCCACCGCACAACTAGTTGGCGTCGCTTGCCTTGTGGAGACTTGGGCGATGTCAGGGGTATCTCTTCAGATAACGGGTCAGTCGCTTCAAGCCCATGCGTCACGCCAGGTTCTTGACCGCGTGACCGATGTCGGGCCGGTCATGTATTTGGACACTTCTGCTTCGTCAGTCTTTGCTCAGAAGATCAACGTGCTCCAAACAACCGTGAAGCATTTCAACTCATAGGCCTCGTGAGGACTTTGCCCAACGTGATCTAGTGATGTGAATCTCCCAAGAAAACAAAGTCATCACTTGGGCGTCCCAGTCCTCATACAACACTGACACATTCGACGTACCTCTTCAGAATCCTGCGTGTGGCAGGCGTTCCATAGAAGTGGGCACGCGTCATCTTCAGGTTGCCATTGCATCGCGACTCTTGCTGTCCACAAAAAGCATAGCTGTCTCATCACCTTGGACGCGGCGTACTGCTTGCTGAAAAGCAATTTTGCTGGCAGCGGCTCTCCCTCCTTCTTGCGAGCCTTGATCTCGCAAAACACGAGTCTGCTGCGATAATTGTGTATTTGTTGGGTCTCAATTGTTGTCGGGTCTCAATTTTTGGTGTCCAATGAATTGTCCAACCGCATTACTGTGGAGGCTTACCCGTTGCGCCACGCCAGGTTTGCTTGAGACAGCAAGCGTTTTCTGGGATGGGCCATTTAGTACTCAGACTCAGTCCCAAAAAGCTCCTGTTATTGAGCGCCCTCTGCACCCTCTGTCTTTGGAGCATAGGCCAGCTGCCACGCGAGCAAGTTGCAAGCTCGAAGTGATCAGAGTGAGACCCTCTGCCCACCCGCCCATAAAATCAGAGGGTCGAACAGGCCCCTTGGTCGGAGGCTCCAAGGCCTCATTGCGAAACCTCATAACCAGCTACGACGTGAAAGCTGAGCGGAAGGCACATACGGATCGAACACTGGCTGCGCGACAAATCCCAAACCTTCCTGGGAGCACAAGGACCGTCGCTCAGCCGCAAAAAAAACAGCTTGTCCAAAATCCAAAAGCTCTGCAGCACCAACCACGCCTAACATTGAAGCCACGCGCGCCCCAGAGTTAGTAAAAAATTCACCCGCTGCACCGCCACATAGAAAACAGACGACAAAATTCTAAGCTTAGTCAAAACCTACGAAATCAGACCGAAGTCACCTGACCACATGTTTCTCAAGAAGGAGTCAAGGCTGAAAAAGGTGGCCCCCCTTCACCTTTCTGTCTGTAGTATGAGAGTCGCACGGAGGCATCGTACCAGCCAGGAACAAAAACAGGAGCAAGGTCACGAATCTCAATGCGGCTCATGACAAGGCAAGGAGTCAGGGCTCTACGCGATGAAAGGCGTTGAAGCGCGAAGTCCCATGTCAACAGCAGCCATCGGAGAGCCAGCAGAAACACTTGAAGTGCTCATGTGGAGGCACGGCGTCACTAAGTTGACCCTCGGAAAGTTGAGGACAGGCATCAACATGAGCATCAAGAAGTGGCAAGTGAAGTGTCCATCTTCCTTCCATCTGAACATCAAGAAGCGTCAATCTTCTTTCCATCCTGCCATTGCGTCACTCAGTTGACACTGGAAACAGTGAAGACACGCTTGTAACATTCTGCTGGAAGACATTCTGCCGTCACGAGTCTGTCAACGTCAGGGGCTTCAACACGTCTTGATAAGTAATCAAACCTGACGCAACGTACTAAAAAATCCAGACAGGCTTTTTAAGACACATGCGCGCACTAGACGATACGAATACAAAGCATCTTGCCCGCCCCCCCATAAAGCCCCCTTGAAATACGCATGTTTGCGCCAGACAACGCGAAAGCAAGCGTCTTGCACACCCCCACCACAAAACCCCCCTGCAAATACACGCGCGCGCTAGACGACGCAAAAGCAAGCATTTTGCACCCCCCCGCGAAACCCTACACGCGCGTGCACAAGACAACACGCAGGCACCACCCCCCGAACCTTCACTTGAGATACACATGAAGGTGCGCGACGAACCCTCGGAAAAATAGCATAGGACCGTTCTGAACTCGAAAATCCACTGCGTTCTATGTTCCGAAAAGTAACGTTGCAAAAGCACGTAAAACGCATGTTTCAAACAGTGAAAATGATGCCGTTCGTACTGCTGTCTAAAATTTTGTGCGTAAACCCGTCTGGATATGCTCTATATATATATAATATGTGATATTGTAGAAATATGATGCGATAGTGATATTATAGAAAGGCTAGCGCCCTGGCGCCGCCGACCCCAGTTAGTGGGCCAGAATCCAGGCAGATGAGCTGCCTGCACGCGCTTTCGAGACATGTTGCCGGCGCTGGCGCTGGTGCTGTGAGCTGGCTGCGGCGCTGGGCGCCGTGAGCTGGCTGCGCGCGTGGTGGAGACAGGGCGCCGGCGTTGGGCGCTGTTGCTGGCTGCACGCGTGGTGGAGACACTGCGCCGGGCGCTGGGGGCGCTATGAGCTGGCTGCGCGCGCGGCGGAGAGCGGGCGCCGGCGCTGGGCGCTGGCGCTGGCTGCGCGCGTGGTGGAGAGCGGGCGCCGGCGCTGGGCACTGGCGCTGGCTGTGCGCATGGTGGACACAGGGCCGGCGCTGGGCGCCGGTGCCGGGAACAGCGCAGCAACGGAAGAAGCTCCGACACCCATGCCCCCGCTGCACGACGGTGTTTTCCACGGTCGCTCGTGGACGCATCAAAAAGAAGACAAAACGCCCGGCAAGCTGCCTTCGAAGCCCTATAGAATAGTAGAAATAAGTGGAAAGAGGTGTAGGCCAGCAGCAGGGAGGTGTTCTAGGCCGGTGTCAGCAGGCCAAAACACCTGGCCCTGAAGGTCTCAACAGAGGCTTTCTTCTAGGCCGGCATCGCCAGGCCCAAACACCCCGGCCTGAAGGTTTCAATGGAGCAGAGAGCGACCGTTGCCAGTGACTAGCGTTGCCTTCGAAGCCCTATAGAAAATATAGAAAAGAGGTGTGGGCCTGCCTAACGTTGCCTTCGAAACACACCAAGGAAACTTCTTCTAGGCCGCTGTCGAACACCAGGGTCGCCAGGCCCAAAAACCCTGGCCCTGAAGGTTTCAACGGAGCAGAGAGCGACCGTTGCCAGTGCCTAACGTTGCCTTCTAGGCCTGCCTAACGTTGCCTTCGAAAGAGGTGTAGGCCAGCACCAAGAGCAGGTGAGAGGTGTTCTAGGCCGGTGTCGCCGGGCCCAAACAACCTGGCCCTGAAGGTTTCAACGGAGCAGAGAGCGACCGTTGCCACTGCCTAACGTTGCCTTCGAAGCCCATAGAGAGATTCGAAAGAGGTGTCTAGGCCAGCACCAGGCTGCCAGCGCCAGGGAGAGGTGAAGGTTTCAACGAAGCAGAGAGCGACCGTTGCCACTGCCACACCCTAGCAGGCAGGTGGCCATCGCTGCTCGCTACGCTATGGCAGGCTTCAGCTAGGCAGGGGTCGGCGGATATGTATATATATATACATATATATACAATATGTGATATGATATTATGTGTATATATATATATGTTTTTTAATAAGTATATCAAAGTATACCACTCAACGTACGTGCACCCCTCAATATGTTGAGCTACCTTGTAGATCTTTTAGGAGTGGGGATGTTCCCAAATCCAGCAAACCCCTCAACGGTTTTGGCTAAACTCGGAAGGCAGCAACCCACTGGACCAACCTTGCCTGGGTGACCCCACGATGCTCCTTCGCCTCCTGCTCAGCAATCCGCTCTGCCTCTAATTGAGCCTTGGTCGGGCGCGATCCAACAAGCTGCGGCCATCCGGTTTCAAAGAGAACCGGATTGAGGACAATTGCCTCACTCTCACTCCGTCTTGAAAAGGAAGGGACCGGATCCCTTCGACTGTTTTGGCATAAGAGGGCTATAGTGCCTCTCTCAACCTGTCATTATACAACAACAAACACAAACATGTTAGGTTCTCAGTCCGGTTTGGTCCTCCGTCCCAATCTCAGCTCCAGACACTGCTTTTCATGAAGCGAGGATCCAACCTGTCGTGGGTAGGAGACCGAGGTGGCATCTCCTTGCTTGTCCTATCATTGTTTTTCATCAGCATCCCTAGGCACGGCACCACCATTTTGCAACGCTACTCGTGTGTTTATGCCGGTATTTGAAATGGCTGAGCTTGGGCTAGCAGGTGACTTTGAAGAGCCAGAACTGTACAAGAAACGAACAGCACCAAAGCGTACCAGCATTTGCTGGCGCCCTCAAATTCCGCAAAAAAAGAACATGCACATACATGCCCACTCAAGCGATTGCACTGGCACTTGGATGTCATGCAGGCACGTAACTCCAGTCAGATCGTCGCGCTGCTCTGAAGTCAAAATGTTGTGGAATGCTCTAAAGAGAGAAAATAAGATCTCGGCCATGCACCCTGACGCTAAATGAGAGGTTGTCTAAAAATCCCTTGATGACTCCTCTGGCGAAAGGATGTCGGCCAGCTTCTTCCTGTAATGCCCGATGCATCTCATCCCAGTCTTCAATTTGGAAGATCTCCAGAATTCGCTCCTTGGTTGCATCCCTTTTCTCTCGCCGTGGTCGAGCTTCTTTGGCATGGGAACCATCATGCTCATGGCAATATGGGCATGTGTCGCCTTTTTCACAGCCTCGTCGGGAGAAGAAGAACACGCAAGGATTGCAAGTGTGCCCCGGCTGAACTCGGTCCTGGCAAGTCGCTGTATGAATATCCAATGATGCATTCATATGGTTTGGTCAGTGAACTTGATGTCTGTGCTTCTTGAAGGGAGAGGTGTGGGACGCTATTCTGTGGCGGAAATATCCCAACCTTCCCTACTCAAGCAGTCTTTGATCTGGAGAGTTGCCAGGACCTGTCTCGACAAACTAGCGTGCTCTTCCACAACACTGATGGCCTGTGGCGGGGGGGGTGTATTTTGTTCGTCATCACACTCTTTCAGTCCTAGAGTTGTCGGCCAAACCCGAAAGCACAGCACGCAATACGACCAAAAACGTCTTTGTTCACGATCTGATCTCACCACCAAAAGTGATTTCCCATCAGTCCATTACACTGTGTGTATGTGCCGCTCCTGTGCGTGTAGGTTGCCTCCTTCAGGTACAGAGCTGTTCTCCCCAGAGGAAGCCATCCAGCTAGCCCAAAGCAGCACCGCCGGTCACCGCGGTGTCTATTTAGTAGCTTCTTGTTCCTAGTAGCGTCTTTGCTCCTAGTAGTAAGGCCAGGAGCCCCTTAGCTGTATGTTTCATAATGATTCCCGGTACTGTGTCCAACTGTGCTCAGCTGAACCTACTCGCGGCCTGTGGGCCGCTCAAACTCCATCCAACCCAACTATAAACTCAACAGTGCCGTCAAAGAATTTTGAGCCAGGAAAAGTGTTGGACATTAGAGGAATTTGCCCTACACTACCGTAAATAACTGCATTGGCAGCAGAAGCAGCTTCAAAATGCCAAATGCTTGAATTCTGCGCATGTTGAACACGCACATTCTTGTCCGGTCCGGCCGGATGTCCAATTCCACTGTGTGCGTAAGGGTGTAAAATCTGATCGTATGAGCACTCCACGCCGCCTGTATGTGACCAGACATTGTGAGAATGCACAAAGCACAAACTTTCCTAAAGTATGTCCCAGTATGATACAGTATGTCCATATCATGTGAAAGTCCATTCAGCCTTGACATGCATGCTTCTTGAAGGCGCGCATGCCCTTCCAAGACCACTTGAACAGCACACTTCCCTCAGCCTGCAATTGGGCAAGCATGGCTGCCCTGAGCCCTCAACACCTGTTCAAGCGATTGTTTCCAGGGCTTCCGAAAAGGGAAAGTGTCTGTATGATTAACCAGTTCTTTACCATAGTCCCACTCCAAAGCGAAAGACCAGAGAGAAGAAACCTGACTGAATCCTCTTTGGGTCATTAAGAGGCCACCCCATCAGCCCCACATCCCATATGAAGAGGCTTTTTTCAGATGTTCTCCCGTTTCCCCGAGCCTCCGGTGGTGCAACAAGTAGGCACTCCGCCTTCCTGTCTGGGTATTCCTTCCTGCCGGCGGATGTGCCAGGGGTTGGTCCCCTCAACTTGATGCCTGCGGATGTGGAAAACCCTCGAAAGTGAAAGGGCCCTAAGACATTTCACACCAAAGACTCTAAGGCCTTGCTCTAGTACCAAGAGTAGTGAGTCTAGTACCAGGTCTAGTACTAGTAATGATAGAGTTGTGAGCTGCAAAATCAGTTCCACCATGTCAAGCCCTTGGCGCCCGCGGCCACGCTGGCCTCATCGATCTGAATCTCTGCGAAGCTGCTGCGCCGCGGCCAGCCCAGCTGGTAGCCCAGCTCCAACTGGCAGACTGTTAGTTTTGACGTGCGCCTTGCATTGCGCATTTGGGCTGTTTGTTTTTGTCCATTTGTACGATCTTCATGTTGTGCACCCTGAGACTCCTGGCTACTGAATTCTGAATACTTGCGCATGACCATCCAACAGTTGGCCTGGTGCAGCAGGGGCATGGCCTCAGCAACAATTCGAGCAATCCACAGTTTCCAAGACAAGTCTCACGTCCCACATGCGAGAGCTTTTGTTTGGCCGCTATGAGCTACTATTATGTAATATGTGCTGTTGGTCTCTTTTCTTATGGCCGTGGCCCTAACTCCTTACCTAATTAAGTGGGCGCCTACTTGATTCCTACTTAAGAGGGCAGCATGCCAACCTCAAACTTGGTAACCGAGGACCACAGCTGGATGGAAACATGATGTATACAAACTTGGTAACCTTGTTCATCAATGTTCAAAGTTCCTCCCTTTGGAAGATGCAAATTCCCATCAGCCCACTCCAGGCCCCAGCAAGTCAAACGCGCAGCTTCGGCGGGTCGCATCCCATGGGCCAGATCGCATGAACCCGGGCGCTACACACGTGAAAACTTGCACAAGAAAGGACAGCAAAAAAATATAAACATCTTGTTTCAGCCATGCACCAAAGTAGATTAGCCACTGTACTAGTAAGATGATGCGGTTTGAAGCAGCTTGAAGCCAAATGACAAGTGACATGTTCGGGAGTTCCAAGCAAACAAAGACATGTCAATGTCGAGGAGATCCGGCTACAATGCATCTATGCTTGGGGTTTGGAACATCATCGCCCCCGCTGGTTGGCAACTCTTCGTGAAATAGTTTAAAGCAAGATGTCAACCCTCTTGATGCTGAACCCTGACCGAATTACGAATTTGCTTCGGACTGGATCGCCAGTCCTGCCAAAAACTCCAGGTGCCACAAGTCCAACGCCCATGGGTCCAACGCTCGGGGTTGCGAATATATTTCTGGATTTTTTCGTTTTTTTTTTGTTTTTCGTGTTTCGTGGCAGGTGCAGTACTTTGTGGACCTTGCAAAGCACATTTCGTGGCAGGTGCAGGACTTTGTGGGCCTTGGAGTGCAGAGTTTGTGGCAGGCGCAGGACTTTTTGTGGGCCTTGAAGTGCAGATTTCGTGGCAGGTGTAGTACTTTGTGGCCCTTGGAGTGCAGATTTTGTGGCAGGCACAGGACTTTGTGGACCTTGAAGTGCAGATTTCGTGGCAGATGCAGGACTTTGTGGGTGTGGAAGTGTAGAGTTGGTGGCAGGTGCAGGACTTTGTGGGCCTTGGAGTGCAGATTTCGTGGCAGGCGCAAGACTTTGTGGACCTTGAAGTGCAGATTTCGTGGCAGGTGCAGTACTTTGTGCAGTGTGCTGGCAATCCCGGGTGACTTTCCTCTGAAGACATGAAGCCTTGAAGCCTTGAAACCCTGCTGACGACCTGAAGCCTAGTGACGACCTGAAGCCTTGAAGACCTGAAGTGTGGTGACGACCTGAAGCCTTGAAGACCTGAAGCCTGGTGACGACCTGAAGCCTTGAAGACCTGAAGCCTGGTGACGACCTGAAGCCTTGAAGACCTGAAGCCTGGTGACGACCTGAAGTCTTGAAGACCTGAAGCCTG